CATGTTGCCCAGAGAAGTTGTGGATGCCCCATCCCTGGAAGTGTTCAACGCCAGGTTGGATGGGGCTTTGAGCAACCTGGTCTAGTGGAAGGTGTCCCTACCCATGGCAGTGAGGTTGGAACTAGATGATCTTTGAGGTCCCTTCCAACTGAACCATTCTATGATTCTATGAATTCCCTACCTTTCTTTTTTGGAGTTAGTTTGTTTTGTGTATTTCACAGTGAGATACACGTAAAGTCACTTTGATTTATTTTGCAAGTTAATGATTTTACATGCCATAATTTAGAGTGTGTTTCTATAAAACATTAGACATTTTTACTTCAAATTAGCAGAAACCTCTTAGCGACTCAGACACAAGCTATACTTAACAAAAAAGAACTACTAAAAAGAAAGTCCTAGAACAGGGAAAAAAAAAAAGAATAAATTTAAGCATACATATATTCAGAGTTCAGCAAACATGGGCAGTATCCCATAAAGTACCAGAAGTCCTAACAGGAGCATTTTTTCACTCATTGTGGCAGAAGTAGTCTACATTGTATGAAAATTAAAGCACTCACACAAAGGATGGAGCTGCTTAGATCTGAAGCATTTCACCTTATTCATGATTGAGAACACTACAAAGGTTTAATTTTAAGTCTTTGGAACTTTAAAGACCACCATGGAAATGCTTCAGAAATGTTGCATGTTAACTTTATCTGGTTTCCGATACATTCTTCTCTAGTTACTCTCACCTTTTCCAATACAGGAAGCCAAGATGTAACAAGATGCAGGTTCTTTAAACACAGCCATTCTCCATTGCGTGCACATTCTTTTAAAGTTTGAATAGCCAGGTCAGCTTGGCCTTGGCCCATTGCAATCTGAAATGACAGACACAGTTGTATCAGGAATTTATCATACTTCATTTAACAGTTAAATATAAAATTGTATTTCCAAGCTAGAATGCATATGTAAAAAAGAAGATGTGCTAAAGATAACCAGAATTTTCTCCAATGTGCTACGCTATTAAAGGAGGGAAAAGATTAAGGAAAGCGTAGGGTTTTTTTTGCAATCTATCTAACCAGAATTTCTTAAGAAACATTGCCTAGTCTTTTTATGGAAAAAAACCATACATCAGTTGGTGACAGTGATGGTATTCCCTGGGAATTCAAAAAGTAATTTAAATATCAGTGACTAAACTGCATTACTGTAGAACTGCTGATACAATAAAAACAAGAGATAAATGAGAAAAAATTTGCTTTTAACTGTAAGTTAGGAGTACTTCCTTTGAAGAGAAACACTCAATTTCATATTAAGATGCGTGAAAAACTAAGCTTGCTGTCTTTCCAACTGGGAAATATGAATAGTCTAACAAACAGTCTCTTCTTCAGTTTTCATAGTACCATATTGCGGCTAAAATAAATTTGGATCTTCAAATAGAAATACAAAGATCCAAAACTGAGTTTTCAGGTAAATTAGTGAAAATTGAAAATAAAGAAAGGACTATGTTCTGTGGCATAATTACTGCAACAACTGATGTTAGACTATCTGTAGACTACATTCACCTTAGTTGTCCCTTAGAATCTAATTGGAAGCTATACATAACAAAAAACCCTGAACCAAACAAGTTGAAAAGAAAGTGGTCTTAGCCAATCTGGAAAGTCTTGTCTTGGCATTACTGCTATAGCAAAATAGAACTATTGTGATTGTTATGACTTCATCAAATATCCCTTAAGAGGAAATCTATCCCGTCTTTTTCTCCTAAAACTGTACCGAATCAAAGAAACTTGGGGCCTTAGCTTTATATGATGATACAGAGATATCCTCTGCCAAAATAAAACTGAGTATAGTATCTTGAAATAATTTAAAATAGCTAAAATAAGACAATTGAAAGTCACCAGATAATATAGTAGTACACCACAGAAATTTAGTGGTCTGTTCTTTATCCTGTATGAGAAATAACTCAACAGAGAAGAAAAAAATTACCTTCTCTGTTCTATTCAAACTGCATGAGAAAGTGCAGGAAAAAATAATAACAACAAAATATTCTCATTAGTACAACAAATTTCAAATGATTTAGCTTTGAGTACTGCTCCTTAATCAAATACCATACCATATCATGTTATATTTTAAAAGTCCAACATGCAAAGGATATTTAGAGATAAACACAAAAAGCCATGTGGCAGAGTAAGAAATACGCATTCTGAAATGTTCAGAACTAGATAAGCAGGCAGTAGGATCTAAATCTTTACAATTTGATGGGAAAAATATATTACATCAGCACACATTCTGGGAAAGGAACAATTTCAAGGACTATTTAAAAGCAACATTAAACTTGTCATTTTCCATTTCTATGCTAACCAGTGACCAGCTAGATAACAACTCGCCTCCCCTGAATATTTCAAGTGACAGAAGGAAATAATTTTGTACAGAAAGGTACAAAGCATATTGGTACTGTTTATTAGGAATATTAGGAAACCACTTGTATCACAGATTCGAGTTGGAATGGATCCTGGAAGGTCTCTAGTCCAATCTCCTGCTCAAAGTAGGGCCAGCTATGAAAGATCAGACCAGGAGCTGAGGGCTTGGGAATCTTGGGAACCTCCAAGGATGCAGACTGCATTGGGAAATCTGTTTGGCTGCTCTCATGGTGAAAAACTTTCTCCTTAAATCCAGTTGTAACCTATCTAATTACCATTTATGCCCACTGCTTCTTTCCACCACGCCTGATTGCAAAGAGTCTGGGTACATTTTCTCAGTGACGTTCTTGTAGGTATTGAAAGGCTGTCACTAAGTCAACACAAAGACTTCTCTGCTGGCAAGGCCAAGTGCTGGCTCGTGTCCAGCTTGTCACCTACAAAAACCCTCCAGTCCTTTTCAGCAGAGGTCTTCTCTAGCCAGTCAATCTATTTCCTGTATCATCGCAAGGTTTTCTTCTTTTCCAGGGGCAGGACTTCGTATTTCTTGAGTTCTGTAAGGTTTCTGTCAGCCAAGGAAAGCCAAGGAGAGTTGTGAGCCCATTGCTCAGTGGGGCAGGGCACATAGTGACAAAGAACATGGAAAAGGTTATGGTATTCAATGCCCTTTTATTCTGAGGTTTCACTGCTAAAGCTTGTTCTCAGGCCTCCCAGGTCTCCCAAACCTACAAGCAGGAGTGAAGTCTCTGCCTACTGTAGAGACAGAGAGATTTAGGAATCACTCAACACACTTAGAAGTAAAGAAGTCCACAGGACAAGATGGGATGCATCCAAGAGTGTTGGGGGGTCAGCTAACGTCACTCCTTGCTCTCATCTTCAAAAGATTATGTTGATCTGGGATGCTTGCTGACAAAAAAGGAAAATGTCACATTTATCTTCAAGAAGGGTAAGGAGGAGAAAGATCTAGGCGACTACAGGCTAGTCAGCCTCCACTCAATCCCTGGGAAGGTTATGAAGCAAGTCCTCTTAGAAGCCGTTTCTAAACACATCAAGAACATTGAGGTGATAAGGAGCAGTCAATATAGATGTACGAATGGCAACTCGTGCCTAATCTCTTCTATGATGAGACAACTGCCACTGTGGACAAGGCGATGCCAGAGAATGTTGCGTATCTTGACTTTACTAAGGCTTTTGAGAGAGTGTCAGATGCCCTCCTTATCACCAAATCGGAGAAATATGGGCCGAAGAAACAAAAAATAAGATAGGCAGAAAAATGGGTGGACTGCTAGGCTCACAGGATGGTCAGTGGTGCAGAGTCCAGCTGGCAGGCAGTAACTAGTGGTATCACTCACAGATCAGTACCAGGACAAATACTGTTTGATGTCTTCATCAGTGACCTGGGTTATGTGACTGCGTGCACTCTCAGCAAGCTAATAGATAACACAAAAAGGGGTGAGGGGGAGGGCAAGAAACCAATATGCTGGAAGGCAGGGTTGCTACTCAGATGGACCTGAACAGGCTGGAGAAACAGGTTGGCAGTTCATGAAGTTCAACAAGGCAAATGCAAAGCCCTACACCTGGGATGGAATTACTCCATGCAACAGTACAGACTGGGGTCTGCCTTTGGAGGAAAGGAGGCCCTAGCAGACAAGAAGTTGAGTATGAGTCAACAATGGGCCCTTGCAACAAAGGCCAATCCCATAATGGGCTGTATTGGTAAAAGCTTTCAGCAAGTCCAGGGAAGTTATCCTTTCTCTCTCTTTGGAACTTTTGAGAACACATCTGAAGTACTGTGTCCAGTTTTGGGCTCCCCAGTAGAAGACAAACATGGTCATACTGAAGTGACTCCAGAGCTGACCACCAACATGGTCAGGGCACACTGAGCAATGTTTGTTTAGCCAAGCAATCAGGAGACCTTCTTGCTGTCTACAACTACCTGATTGAAGAATGTAGAGAAGATAGAGACAGATTCTTTCAGAGGCACATGGTGATAGGACATGAGTCAATGCACACAAGCTGGAACACGGGAAATACTAATTCAACATTAGGAAAAAAATTCTCCTGTGAGACTGGTCAAATACTGCAACAAGTTGCCCAGTGATGCTGTGGGATGTCCATCCTCAAAGGGGGGACCTCCCTGCTCTGAGTAGGGGGTTGAATTAGATGATCTCCAGAAGTCCCTTCCAACCTAGGTTATTCTATGAATTTAACAGCTACAGTAAATTTCTTATTAAAAAAATAAGAGTTATTTTCAATATCTCTGCATAGATCCAATTTTGAAACAGACACAGAAAATATAAAGCGATTTCTTAATAGTACAGTTCTTGATTAAAGTCTACTCAACGGGAATTATCTTCACTCAGTTCAGTTTTGTGTTGAATGTAAAACAGGGAAGAAGCTGTATACCATGACAAAAACCAACTGTTATATTGGCTGGGCAAATAATTTCGGTGTTGTATGCCTATTCCTGAAATCTGAGGGCTTTCCTGCATAGTCGATCTTAAACACTTTTTTAAAAAGACTTGAAACATAAGAGATCTGTTCAGGAACTCCCATCAACAATTAATTGGTTAACATTTACTTGCAAAATTTCTCAAAATATTTTAAGGGATACCAAAGTATTCACAAACACTGAACATCTGATTTATTTTTTCTGTTGAAGAAAGAAATATGCAAGTCCTATAAGCAGAGGAAATTTTGAAGTCTAGTTTTCAATGGGTTTTGTTCATATTTCCATTACTCCACACTAAAAAAGATAATGTTTCAGCAGGTATAACAATTCTCAGTCTCTTGTTCTCTTCTATCAGTCTTCTCATTTTTCCCTACTCCAAGCTGGAGGAATGCCAATGGATTTTGCTTCTGTGAGGATAACGAATTCTGTCTCTCTTCTCCAACCCATTTTACCAATGGAATTGAAAGTTAGTGGCGAGATAGGTGGGAAAAACAAATACACAGATACCAAACTATGCTTTTACATACTAACTTCCTTAAAAAACAAGATAAAACAGATCTTAGTACTGTAAAATTTTACACATTGTGTTTTTTAATCATTATGCTTATCTAAGACTGACCTGATGGTAGCACTCCGTATTTCTTTCAACACTGGCAAGTTCTTGCAACTCTTGAGAAGGATCGGCACCAGGAGAAATAATTATCAAGATAGGCTCAATTTCCAGAGTCTCTCTATACAGACGTTTCAAGTTCAGAGGCAACGGAGATAATTCTTTTATTCCTACAATTAGAATTAGAGTTATTACAGAAATAAAGTGACTACACAGGATGGAGTGCTTCATTAACCACTTTAGAGGTAATTTGGCTATCAAAGTTCTGTTCAATGGAGACCATAAAACTCGTCCCACAATGAGAAAAAAATCCTTACAATATGCAGGTGGAAGGCACACTATATTGACAAGAAAAAGACACAAACACCAAAATGGTGCCTGGACTTCCAGCTTGACAAATATAAACTGTAGTCTTTATTTAGAGTGTAGTCTTCAAGAAAACACAAAAAGAGAAGAGCTGGAATATAAGAATATGAGAAGCTATGCTATTTGCTAAAACTAATTGCAGTGTGTATGTCCACATGCAGAACTTCTCTGATGTATTTCCTGAGAGCCTTAATTATTAGACTTTGACTTTACCTGGTTCCTGGTACTACAATTACTTTAATCTATTATTTGCTTTCATACACAACTTAAATGTCTAGAATATTGACCTAGTATAGGTAAGGCATTTATACATGAGCCCAAAGCTATGTGTATAAGTGTATCATAAACCTAAACAGTGTTAAACACATATTTTTAATGCATCTCTAGGCTGCTCCTTAAATAGTCAAATGTTAAGTGCAATGGGAAATCACAACATAAAGCAAGACAGAAGAGTCCAAATCAGTGACATCTATGCTACACCTATGAAAAGACACAGTACACTTTTCCTCGAGAGCACAGTTTGCTTTCAGACTTGAGCTATTATCTCCACATAGAACAATACTGTATAATTTGAATACAACAGGTCAAGTTGGTAAAGGTTAGTATGAGGTCTGGGTTATCTGCATGTATCTGTACAGACTCTAACGGATATAACTAAACAGATAAAATCACTATCAATCAAAACATTTTAAAAATTGAATTAAATGAGACTAATATTGGAAAATATTTTCATTTTACATTCATTAGGCGTGCAAAGGTAATATAAGCCGAGATAAATACATAAACTGAGGCCATAAGGCAACTGATATGGGCAGCTCCCTTGACGAGTTCTGCTGCTCACTGTCAATAAGCCCTAAACCCTAGAAGATCCATAAAACGACACTGAAATTAAAGTAGGGCTGTTCAGTGTCAGACTGAAGCATGCTCAGTGAGGAAGACTCTTCAGGGACTCTTAACTGTCAGAATCTCAAAAATGTCTAAAAAACATCTGCAAGTTGTTTCTCAATGAATCCTGTATTGGCCAAATTTGGATGCATTTTCAGAAGGTCCGAAGAAAGCTTACACTTTGAATGAAAGCTGCCCAGCATACTAATTTTATAATCACTCCTCCAAACTGAGCTTACAGCAACATTTTTCACAAATACAAGCTACTCCAGATTTATCACTCCCTTCACTAACATAATAAATGGAAATAACTAAGCTATTGACAGAGTTGGGAGAAAGAAAGAAAACAGAGAAATTATCTAAGAAAAAAAAAAAAAAGACATTTGATGTATAACTAGAGATAGGTTTGGGTTTTTTTAAACTACAGTCATAATTCAAGCTACCTGAGTCACTCTAAGCAATAAAAGAAAAATACCAGGAAGTAGAACATGACGGCATTCTCTAGGGTAAGAATGTTTATTTCAGTTACTTTTTATGAAAGAATGTTTACAATGCTGAAAATGGAAGACAGTATTATGCCTATAATTAGAAAATCCAACATCAGATGTTTCTTTCTGTGGATGAGGACCACAAGGAAGAGGTACTTGTGATGCGTTCTGATATTTGGGCTATAAAACACTGTCTCGCACCTTAAGCAAGTTTCATCTCATCAAATTCCTCTCTACTGAGATGTATCCACCATAACTATATTCTACCGTAACTATATTTCACCATTGAAGGATCAAAATAAAAATGTTTCCACATTAATTTAACATAAATATTAAAACATTACATAAAGCATTATTAGAACTTAATCACTAGCTATATAAGCAATAAAGATATATTGAGAACCTTAACACAAAATTTTAGATCGATATTTGATTAAAGGTAAGGTTTTGGAAAGGTAAATTTTAGGTTTTATTAACTTATTTCAGTGAAGAAAATAATTTTGAAAATCTTCACTACTGTTTCAAATCCTATGAAAGATATAGGACTGAAAATATCTGTTGAAGTCAACTGGTAGCAAGGATACAAAACCCAAATGGAGATCTTCCTGACCACTAATTAACACTGTGGAATGGGTGTCATGCAATGCTGCGTATTCATGACTACATGGAAATGAAGAACAGATGTACAAGGTCATATAAGGCAAATCCATAGGGTCTTTTAAGTATGGTGTTACTACTTCTAGTTGAGAAACCTTGGAGACATAAAACATTGGTCACTGCAAAAGGTTTCACTACAGGCTTGTGATGGTCTTATACTCTTGCCTTGTCATTTACTATTTGTCATTGATAAAGACAGTAACACATAAGACAGACCTCTCTTCTTCTCCTGTTCAACCATTCTTAAGTTCCCATTCCTAAGACTGCTTTGTTGCAGTGCACAAACAGGTCCATGGAATACAGTACAATCAAGATAAACTAGAGACTGTTGCCCGTATTATTATTTTTAATTAATAATAATTAATTAATAATAATAATAATAGATTCCTGAGAAGCTTAGTTGATTAGGAGTTATGATATCGTACATAACTCTATGTTAACTGGGGACTACTGCTTCGCCTTGCATTAACTGGGGAACAGAATAAAAAGCTATGACTGGGCAGTAGACAAATGTGTGTACACCTGCAACTTATTATAATAACATATTTATGGTAATGATGCTAACTTAAAAGAGGTGCAATTGTAAATGAGTAACTGCCTAGTCAAGTATATCGTATCACCCTTGAGATGTATCATTTAGAAATGTAATAGAGTGTAAGTCGTCTTCCACAAAACAGTTCAGTTTTTTCAGAAACTTGGATACAATGTTTAGAAAAAGCATAGCTATGCTGAAGGTGCTTTTTGTTTTAAGGAAGCTCAATAGAGAAAAACTGTAATACAGCCCTGTCTATTCCTGGCCATTACAGCCAGGATTACACTTGGAGAACCGAAAAAAAGGACTCCAGTGTTTTCATGGTAAATCAATAAGCACTTATATTCCAGATAATGTCTATGCAGTCAGAGTGGGGATTCCTGACATACTTTTCTGCCTCCATGTTCCATTCTGACAGAATTTCTTAAATATTACTATCCAAACCAACATCCTGACATGAGAAGAAAAAGCATACGTGAGAGTAAATAACTTTCCAGAAAATGTCTAAAGGGGAGGGGGGCAGGGGAATCAAGGTAGAAAAAAGAAAGACCTGACATAAAAATACAAAGTTTGGCACAGGATGCAAACTTCGCATTTTTTATAAACTGATGAAACTTCCATAAAAATCAATGAACAAATTTTCACAAAACTTCTCTACTAAAGTCAATGCAATTAAACGAATTTATAGCAGCTGGAACTTGAACGCAAAGTGCTTGTTAAAATTCCTTCTGTTGGTGATCTGTACACAGAGGAACAATGTAAAAAAATATCAGTAAATGTATTATTACTATTAACAATTCCAACACAGAAAGCAGAAGATATATATATTTTTTTTTTCCCCAAGTAATTTTATTTTTGCCTAGATGCAATAAGAGCATGAGAGCTCTTGTCTACTTTATAGAAAATGGTCTGTGAGAATAAAATACAGACTTGTTTATCCTGCACTGATTTTCTTTCTGTGTATCTCTACTGCTTTTTTGAAGAATATGAAAATGTAGGTAATTAAAATCAAGCCTCTTTAAATACTATTTCTGATGTAGCCAGACTCAAAAAACTAAGTTAAAGCAGATGTGAAAAAAACTCAACTCAATAAGTGATATGGAATGATTTGGGAGTATACTGTCAATATGATTTTTACTAACATGGTGTATTTCAGTATAGCATGTAAAATAAAGCAATAAGTATACTTTGGGTACCCATAAAAAACATTTATAGAAAATTCTTCTGAACTTTATCTTCAAAAGAAATTATTTTAATCCCTCTTTATCTGTAAGTTTTAAAATATATGTAAAAGATGAAAAAAGGAAAAAAATCGTATCTGGATAAAACAGAAGTGGAAGGCTTTCTTGTAGGCTATTACAGCTCTTTTGGAACTCATTCTTCTCAGAGGAAAAGAGCCAAAGGAGATTGGAAACTTAACAGTTCCCTTTTGAAATAAGTGAAACAGTTTGTTTAAGAAGTTTCAGGGCAAGGCCCTTGAAAAAGACATGGTAGAAAAAATAAGAAAGAAATATTCATACAAGCGTGACCCCTTTTATTAGTTGGAAGGTGCTAGCTATGATTTATGACATGATCTCAAAATAAAATCTCACTGATATGCACGAAAAGTCCGTGGATGAAAGCTTGCCTACAAATGGAGTCAATGGTATTCTGCCTTCCTCAGTGAGGCTGTAGTTTCATTCACCGAAACCCATTCCCTTGTGGAATGCCTCCAAGGAACTGGCATCAAGATAGAACTAACCAATTTATGCACAATATTAAGATTTGGAAGACAGCAAGTGGGTGAATAAACTTACTCTGCATTCAGGTCTCTCCTGAGCTTTGACCCACACGTACTGTAGAACGCACTTGTCATTTGATTCCTACAGGCAGGGACATTGTCAGTGGGGGACCTGTACACTCACCACGATGAAAGTATCCTCTCTATCTGCTAACAAAGTTTGACAGAGCAGGCTAACCTTCCTCCTGAAAATATCAGCCTTGGTGGCAGACATGGAACCAATTTTGACCAACAAATAATGCCCACAGATAAAGAGGGACTAAGATAAACTCTCACACAAATGTCATTAAAAATGTAAGAATCAGAGACCTAACCTTAAACCTAATCTTATACTAGTAAGAAACTACATGTATGTCAATAACTTAAAATTACTACATTTGTTCTTTACATGTAACTCATTTATTGCATTATCATGCAAAATCACTCATCTCAAGATCATTCAACCTGCAGATCTTTACAAGTACTGGAAATGTAAGTCCAGCCATATTACCTTGGCAGCCTATGAGTCAATTTTCCAGGTTCATTTTCTACCACGTTAAAAACAGCCTTTGCCAGTAACACTTAAGGTCTTTACAGTCTAGAACCTTTCCCTTCTGTTAATCCCACTTCTGTTCTGACACTGTATCACATTAAAAACAACTAATTCTGCCTTGTCCCTATGTAATGTAGAAGGAGACTTTTAAAACTACAGTGTCCGCCTCAACAAGACACTCAGTATTCATCTTCCATATGCATATTTTCATTAACTGCTAAAAACTGAACAAAGGTTTTGGTATGCTTTATTGCAATATTAAGATGATTTGGAATATAAGTCCCAAACTTTGGATACAATAGACCTCAGAGAGGAAATAGACCGACTAGAACAAATAGACAATTATAGTATCGAATCACTATAAATCATGTGTATTTCTAAACAGATGGCAAAAATTGTATTTCAGTCCAAGAGACTGACAAAAATGACTGAAAATATGAAACAATCTTGAGACGCAACTTAACTTAATAGTTTTTAAATTGTAAATGACATTAAATGAAATAATCTTTTTGGAAATTCTGTGTCTTAAGGAAAATGCTGCAGTGTAAAACTTAGAGAATACCAGCTATCTTCCTTTCTTAATTACTCCAGTGTTCAAGAATTCATTAAAAGAATCTGACAGATCTCTTGTTATATTTTAAATCACTATGCAGCATAACCAACCCATTTTACAAGCACTTTTTAACAATACTTTACAAGAAAAAAAAAAATCAGCAAAACCATTTACAGCATATTTTCAAATCCTAAAACTTAGGGATTCCATAAGAACTATAAAATAAAAGAGAAACGTAGGACAAAAAGAATATTTAATTGTTGTGTGGTAATACCCTGGTGAAAAATTAACTTACCTAGGGTTTTACATGCAAAAAGAGCCATGGCACTCTGTAACCTGTCTGGTCGTACAGCCTGGACCACAAGTACCTTAAAATAAAATATATTCAGGGGAAATGAGTTTATAAAAGTATATTGTGACAATTTAAAAAGGAAGATTCTTCTCAGAAGGCTGAATTCTTTAGAATAAAGTTATTTTCTCTGAATATATAGAGCTATCTGATCATTCCTTTCCAACATAAAGTAATTGTTCCTTTCTAAGTAGCTTGTCCTATTAATAGAATCAGAATGCAGATCTATATCTAATGTCTATTTGTAAGCTGGTACTTTTTCTATAATGTTTTAGAAAAAAGGTAGCTATGTGGGTAATTAGAATGACAGAAAGCAAACTTAGCTTTATCCTGGTGATCTAAATTCTATAAATGTATTTAGGCAGTAATGTCCTAACTGGAATACTGTTTCTGATTTCAGTGCAGTAGTACAGTAAAATAATCGGTTTTGAATGAATTTCCTTTGTTTAAGCACACGTTTAGAGTTTTACATCTAACTTCTTTTTCTGAGACATTCTGACTTTGAAACCTCCTGGTTCTGCAGATGCTTTTACTGTTCTTCAAAAGACTACAGAACATGAACAGCTAATCAAGTCAGATACAAATTTAATTAGCTGTCTCCTAGCAGCTACGTCTTTTGCAGTTAACTTCCTGCAAATATTCAGTGCAGGCAACCAATGCAGCTTCAGTAGAAACGATTTGTTAAAATCATCATCCCCTCTCCTACACCCTTACTTGCAGACTTGTAAACCACAATTCCAGTATCCAGGTCTGGAATACCTGTTGTTAGTTTTGGAGGAAAAATTTAACCTCATTAAATTTTTAAGAAAGTACTACTTTTTAATCTTGAGATTACAGTAAGTGCCACTGCACTATTTTTTAAGTTTAATGTACAGTTTGAAATAAACTTATGGGTGGCATATAAATCTAATCAGGTAGTTTCAGTATATTTCATCAACAGAAACATTCTTAATATTTTCTATGTAAGGAATTAGATACGTAATATGCTGATCATTCCAGATTTATTTTCCTATAAATGCAGAATTTTTATGACAACACCTTGCACACATAAGAATTGCTCTTCTGCATTTCATCAAATCAAACATGACTCAGACAAACTCCTTTCCAAAAAGGTTTGTTCCTAAATTCCATGCATGCTATTTTAGAAATTCTCCTCCTCCACAAAAACTCCAAATAGAGAGCCCCTAAGAGACAATCAGCATGAAAATACATTGTCTTATACCCCATCACTTCTTTGGATGGGCCTTCAATTTATATGAAGTGACCTCAAACAAAAAAATCACAGCATCATTTGAGAGAAAGTAACGACATCCTTTCTTCCATAAACACAAGAGAGATGACATTTTTCTCTTCCAGAGAAGGATGCTCAGGTGAAAGAAGGAACTTGCCTCTCCAACATTCTTGGTGAGTTCTTTAATCACGAAGCTTTCAGTAAGAATAGTATGTCATGACTACAATTTAAAAAGCGGTGGCTGCTACTGTGTTTTGTGGTTTTCAGTCAGATGTGTGAGTTTGCACATTTAAAGATGAACTAAATGAATAATGCTCAACAAGCTGACAAATTCTGCAGTAACAAGGCAATCAAGAATGAATTTTGACATCTATTCATAAAATTAGTTCTAAGAATATAAATAAAGAGCTTGTTACCTTACAGGGTACGCTCATTTGCAGCCAATACATGAAAGACTCAGATAAGAGAGAACTAAATATGTATTACAGAAAAAAATAAATCCTTAGACTAAATAAACTAAGCTGTAAGACAATGTAGTTACTGTCACTGCTTATAATTCAACCAGGTCTGAAGCCCAAGACGTAAAACTTACTTTCAATGCTGAACTCATAATTATTTTTAAATAATTTCATATGAAAAGATTACCTGCTGAAATAAGGAAATTCTTTTCAGAATAGCAGATGGAAAGTTTTGTTCACAAACAGAGTTCTGAGAAAAAGTGTGCCACAGACCTTCATCTTCAAAGCAAAGTGTCTGATAAAGACCTGGGAGAGACATCTACGAAACAGATAAGGCACATTTAACAATAAAAAACAATAGCCATTTGGACATTGTATATTTTAATTAATTTCCAAATACCACTATGACCCTAAATCTGTAAATACTTGTGCATATCACATAGCTCAATTCAAGTTTATCCTCGGCATTAAAGAAAAGGGTAGGTTTTAAAATTAACCAATTCCATGGAAATGCTAAGTCTGTATTTGCTCTATACCTTTCTTTTTAAACTTTGGGCTCTATCCAATTGTAGTCCTTTCCTTTAATCATGACCAGGTTCTTTTTCTATCAGTACATGCTACAGATTCACCCAGTTACTTTCTGTTTGTTTGGTTTTTTTAAACCTCTAACAATCATGCTTGCCATACCATTATTGCAATTGTTCCTGATCCCTGGTGAAAAGAAATGAAAAATAATGAACTCTGGGTTTAGCAGCAAAAGTCTTTGCTAAAGACCGGTCAAGGTTTTCCTTCTTGTTGCTGAGCTACATGCAGAAGAGCCTAAGAGAGAATTTCAAGGACTAGTATTTTCATTTAGTTCCTTTTGGGATCAGAGGACTTTAACATCGACTGTTGCAGGATGAACCAAAGCAAAAAAGTGTTCTGTGTTTTCTGTTTTAGTCTGAAATTACATGATCTGAGCAACAGTAAACTCTGAAATACCTTTAAGATGTGCATAGAAATCTGGCAAGTAGAAAACTAGTTTTCCAAATAACAATTTATGGGTTTTAATACAATATGAAGTGGTTTCCAAAATTCATTACATAAGAGAAACCAGCACCTTAAGCATTCTTTGCAGTTTTTCCTCTGTATATTTTCCTATCTATAGAAATTGTAGTACCTTGGGTAGGCTTACAGTATTTTCTAATCTCAGTAAGATGATAGGTTCATTCACATGCACTGAAATTCATTGTTAGATGGGGTAGAGATGTACATGGAAAGGCTCAGAAAAATGAGATTAAATTTAAAAAAAAGCAGTTTTTATCCAAGTGGGTATATATTAAGCTATGGTTTCTGGAAGATAGAATAAACAGTTTAAAGTAACAAAATATTTCCATCTGACAAATCCATTCTTGAGTATTCAAGTCTAAATTACTATTTGCTAAAACCAAAGGCCTTTTAAGGTAAATTCAATCCACCACACGATGCATACCTTCAAAGATGCTACTGCCCAGACTCTGTCCTGTTCTATCCAAGAGGGAATCTGGTCACGAACACTTCTTTGTGAATCCTTATGGAAGCAAGTTATGTTACACATTTAAGTTACACAAATTTCTGTGACTATATTCAGTAATAAGACTGCAAACCCTGTGTTTTTAATAAAAATAGATTTCACAGCACGAATCTTTCTGTGGTCGTTTTCTAAGTTCAGAAATGGCATAACAAAACAGAAGCTACCAATTATCTAGATCTGAAATATATGATTCCATGATTCTATGATTTGCTTAACCACTTGAGCCTGAAAATATTTTACAATTTGGAGTATCTGAATGACACAATTAACTCTAAGTAGTTTTCTTTTCCATTAAAAAAAAGTGGCCCCAATGATTGGCTATCTGCATACACACTCTGAGCGACTGACTTCAAAAAAAATAACTGCACTGCATATATCGGCAGTCATGAAGAAGATGGTTCTTCACACAAAGGGCAATTCTCAGGTAATTCACTAAGCAAAGCATCACTTCTGGACATCTCTGAACTGGAAAAGTTTGGCCACAGCTCTATTTTTCTACTCCTTAGATGTTGGGAAGAGGGGAAATTCTAAGGATGAACAACATAGCTTAAGCTCCAGTGGAATCATTTTACTCACTATATCATTTTTAATAAAAAATCTTACAGTACCCATCAACCAGACTGACACTCTCTGTATGGAAATATATTTGGATCTCTCAACAACTAAACAACTTCAAGAGTGATCTTAAATGTTCAGCAGAAAGAAGGAAAGCTTTCTTGTGAAAGGATGTCTCAGCCTCGAGTTACGAAGTCTGAGAAAGAACAGAAGTAAGAAACTCAGAAGCAATTGTAGGAATAAATTTGAGATGGGTCTGCAATATACATTCCAGTTAGAATTGGGGTTGAATCACATATGTCCACAACTTTTCCAAAATCTATGGGTTGTGTGCTAGGTGGCGTAGAAGTAGGACTGGTGTTAAATTCCATTACACAACCAAATCTCACATAGCTTGAAAATGACCTACAGCACGAAAACACTTGACAATCATCAAGTTCACTGACATTTCATTGAAACATAAAGACTCTATAGAGATGAAGAGGGACTTATATATTCACATTGAAATGCAAAACCTGTAGAGTCACCTAAGGGCTACAGAAACTGGGAATTTAAGGATATTTTTATCAACCAGTTGCCTAAGTAAGAAAACCTGAGTAATACATTGTGTTTTAAGTGACTTGCCACTTCCACCAGCATTCATGTGAACACACTTGGTGTCATGGATGTTCTAAAAATAAGGTACTCACACTGGTCATTGTCTTGTACCACTGGATGTATGAGATACCCTGATAGATATCTAAACAAGGCTAAAGTAATTGTGAATGATGAAAACTGCAACTATGCCTGATGGAAATGAGCTAGCCTGACCCTGAATGAAGAAGAAGAGATTAGCAAAAGAACAGGCAAAGACTAAGCTCATGATTCTTGATTGGGCTCGTGTTTCTTAAAAACATCTTTCAAAACGTTTGCAAAATATTTAATTCAAAGAGATCTATAGTGGATAAGACTATGGGAAGTTTAGCTTTTTTCTCTACCCTTTTCTTCTGGAAGGTTATTTTGAAAGTACCTAGATTCAAGAGAATTGAGGGGGACTTAGTAAACTACAGCATGATTGAACAGGCATGCAACAGATGCTTCTTAAGCTAGCTCTGTCACCTAGGAAAATATATAAATACATCTCCAGATGTAGAACCCTGAGGCTGGGGAAAAAAAGCATGCCAAAGTTAGCAAAGTGTGTGGAAAACTCCATTGATTCATACAAAAAGTACAACTCATATATGATACCGGGAGAAAGAGGGATTCAGAAACACTGATTTTAGTTACAGAAGAGGGCTTAAAACCTCCTCAAACATACCATTGAAAAAACAAATTGTAATCTTGGTAACAGAAAAACTAAAAAAAAAAGCAACAAAGGCAAAAAGTTATGCAAATTAGAAAATGAGTTGCCATGTTCAAAAGTTCAAAACCTTTTTCTATTTCTATATTACTATGTGAGAATTTCTTTGTTCCTTAAATGTATAAATACAATTAATTAAACAATATAGTAAGAATACAACTTAAACTTTTCAGGATTTAAGTAAGTGTTCCTTATTTCAAAATACACAAATAAATGTAGCTTACTGATTTTCTTATGGTATCTCCAATGATCACACCCGTAAAAGTCTCCCATTCCTAGAGGGAATAAATGAATAACTTGGATAAATCACAAGACATCTTTAAGAATAAAGATTAATATGTAGTAGTATGTAGGCAGAACAGGAAGATAAACAAATTAAAGCCTAGATTCTGAAAGAATTATAAGACGTTTTTAAAACTCTAGGTAAGACTATCAGCATGTAATTCCTTTTGCAGAATCCAAGCTAAGTGACTGCAGTGCTTTACAAGAAAAAGAAACAAAAGGAGAAGTCACATCCTTTCTCAGCACCCACAGCTCCCACCCAAATTGCCTAACTATAGATTAGGAAGAAGTAACATACATGGCTGGCAAGGACACACATACTGCCTGACAGGGCATCAGCAGCCCACACAGAACAAAGAACTACAGAATCCATGTTTCAATAGTGTTTCATGTTACAGTATCCAACAGATGCCATTATTAGAGCAGGAGGAATACCTAATATGATAGATTGGTATTATGAATAATTTGGTTGCATTAAAAAAGGGAAATGTAAGTTGAATTTATGTATGATTAAATCTTTCAGACTTGGTATTTGTATCCAGGAAGACACCTTTTAATCATTTTAAGACAGATTAGATAAGTATTTAAAAAAATACAAGAAATTACATAATCCTGTATTTGGAGGTGGAAAGAAATATACTAAAAATTCTTCATAAGTATTAAAATTTTACATAATCAGTATCTCTAATTCTATGATAAAGAAATTATCTTTTTATTGTTAAAGACAATAGTAACATTCCAAATGAAAAAGTCAATCAACTAGTACTACTCTGATATAGACCACAGCGCAGCTTTTTGCACCCATCAATCTAGTTGAGTCTTGAAACAACCCTCTCTTTCAATTATAAACAAAAAGAAAATGCTCATGCACAGAAAAACACATGAAGGTTCCTCAGTTTTAAAACAAGAAATCATGTAATATTTTTATGAAGAAAAGCAGAAGTATAATATGTAGAGACATGTAAAACTACCTCAGAAAAATCTCTACATATTGATTCAGAAAGAGAATGTCTCTACTAAGAGCCAAGGCATTCTGTGGTATAACGTTGAAGTTGTACTATAAATTTCTCATCATTATGCAAAAAAATTCGTAAGTGCAGGAGATTGAACACTTTTGGGACAGAGACTTAGAATATCAAATTCTCTAGCAGCATAATAAGCAACTTTTAGCCTCATCACATTAAAAACTTTAAAAGAAATAACTTTAAAAGATTAACCACTTCAGTTTCATTTTTCCTCAATATTTTGCACAAGCACTCTTTTCTTAAGAATTTAATCAAAATAAGTTCTACCTTTCAGAGAAGTAAGAAAAATACCGATATTATTTGCCTGTTTTAATTCTTGAGTACTCAGATACTGCAGGAATGTGCATTTTATGTAACCCAGACTAAGCTGGTTAAGAGCTCTAATAGCTGATGGAAATGCATGTTAAACAATAGCAACCAACACATAAAGCAGTACTTAGAAATACTTAAGAAGCCTAGGCAGTCAGGCTTTAATTTAGTCAGAAAACTGCAAGTTGCTGCCTTCATGACTTCATACACTCAAGGACTAGAAAGATAAAGTGAGGTATTTTCAGAAGCTGAAAAGAAATAATAAAGATGAATTAGGGAAGTTCTAATAATGAAAAGTAGCCAGGGTATGCCTCTACCAACAAGATTAATTCGAGTTATTTTTATCAGGCAGCTTCATTGCTGAAAGACTGTGGCATTTCACTTGGTCAATCTGTACGTCTGCAATAAAACTACATTGCATTCATCACATCAAAAAGTTTCAACTAACTTTTCTTAAACCTTGTATCTAAAACGCACATCCTTCATATAATCAAGTTTCATTACTTCCTTCAAGGCATGATGCGCAGGCAACTCTTGGTCACAGCAAAACAGGGGTGTATCCATCACTTTACTTATAAAGGAATATCTGTATTTAACTGGAAGGATGGATAAACGTCTAGCCACATGGTGGCAAGAAACAGTGATACAGTAACTGTAAAAAATTACAAGAACCCTCCATAAACATCTTTTTCAGATCCCTATTTAAAAGGTAACCATTTACATAGCTTTCTCATGGTTATCTTCACTTATAAATAAATACTAATATATATAATGTTGACTTCCAAAAGTAACTATCATAGAAAAATAGTAGCATATAAATCTAAAATCCCAAGTCCTACAGTTACTGACAAAAAATTTTTACTACCCATTTACTCTTCATATTAAGTTTAGCACTTACATTCTCTTGAAAAAGTTCAGGGTGCATTCCTCGTACAAAATGTAGAGCAAACATTAGCTGATCAGCCTGAAATAAAAGCAGTAAAAATGCACTTATATCTTCATCAAAAGTCACCTTTCCACTTTTTCTATAAGTAATAAAATTGCATTACTAAAACACCTCTAATTCCATAGTAGTGACTTAATGACATATATCCTAATTCAAAATTGCTACATATCTCTGCAATTTAGAGACAAATACTAACCCAAACCCTGGATCTAAGTACATCTAAATTCAAGTGAAGAAGAAAAAACAAGTACTTGTAATAAAGCAAACTTACTAAACAGAATCCGTTATTTTTTCAAACTGTGCACGTGAAATGCTTGAAAACTTATAGCCAATTTTTGAAACAGAATTTTGAAAACAAAACAAAAAAACAAACAAACAAAAAAACCCAAACAAACAAAAAAAACACAAACAAACAAAACTGTAACCTTCTGACTTTTTCCTAGGTCTGTTGCATCACTTGAATTTCAACCACTGGAGCAACAAACCAGGAATAAGGATTTACTGGAACCATAGAAGAAACCATGCAAACATTCAAGACAATATTTTTTAAAATAATATTGGCTTGTTAAAACTGGGATTCCTATGTCCATACACAGAAACTTTCACAGATGTGTTTTACCCAAGCTGTGCTGGAAAGCACATATTACTATGTAATGAAGTCAACATGAAAATTTGGAAGTTGGTACTCTGGAAAACCAGGACCGCTCAGAAACTTAGGTTGAGGTCTCAATTTTCAAAGCCTGGCTGTAATCTGGAAGATGTATTTTACCAGACAATAGAAGATATACATAACTCATTAAAGTTTTAAGTAAGCATAAGGAAGGTGGTACCTCTTCTTTTTCCTTCAAGACTGTGAAACATAACTAAAAAGCATAAAGTACACGTGAAAGGGAAGAACAGAAGAAAAACCAATGATGCATGGGATTGTGTTAAGTCTGCAAAGCACAGGCATCTCAGCCAGCTGATAAACACAACACACTTGCACTCCTATAGAAATCAGTTCTATTCTTGACAATGTTGTTTGAATTTTCCACAGTGTGGTTTCCCACATACAAGCCTTACGTGTACCTCAAAATGACAGCCTGATCATCCTTAGCTTCAGAGAATTACCACTCTGAAGACTATTATATTACCAAGAATACTACTGAAAAATTATTTGTATGGGACTTTTCAGAAGACACGGGACCAAATATGAGGAAGCATACTCTAGGAAATACTATGCACATGTTATAAGGTATAAGATGAACTGTTTGACCAATATTGGCTTTCTCATCGCAACGTCTATCATATTTTTGAGGCCAAAATTATGAGGACCAAATTATTTTTGTTTTTATTATTACTATTTTCTCAATAATGCCTTTTTACAAGCCCATCAGCTCAGAAACAGACAGATAGAAGAACAACACAGAACAAAAACACAGAGTAAGGATGTTCAAGATGTTCATCATTGGGAAATTTGCTCATAGACAGTAAAAGTAACTTCAACAGCATCTGCATCTGTATTTCAAATAATACAGATGTATCATTTAATAATTTAGCTGGTGATTAGGTTGCAGAACTATGGTTGACTGACTAAAGGGTCATATGTGGGTTAAGAGACCATATCCTTACTAGTTTTAATTGCCCTTGGAATGACTGACCTTAGAAACTACCAAGAGGCTATATATAACTCAATTTGTATGAGCCACAGCTGCTTTAAACTGGATTTGGGTAACTGCAGAAATCCACGATGGTCATCACAACAAACTCTTGGCATAATTCGTATCTCTATGGATACTGATACATAAAGTTGTTGTTTGCTGCTTTACACAGTTCTGTTTTATTAATTCTTTCAATTACAAAACCACATGGTACAAAGTATCCCCAAGGATACAATTAGAGCAAATAAAGGACATTATATTTTATTTTTGCATGTATTTACTATTGGTTTTGTTATAGAGGTAGGACTTGAGGGCAAACAGGCCCCACCTAGGAATCAAGGTCAAACTGTGCAAAGCACTAAAGTTCTCTTTGTATTCATAAATAAAATACGTCCATGAACATCATATGACACTGAGAACAAGTGCCATGGAACAGCTGAAGTTTACACCGTTCAACTCTCTCATCCTCTCAGACAAGGTCTGCAAGCAAATCCAAATCCAAACTGCCTGGATGACTTAGTATCCAAAACTTGAATGGGAATTTTTTGGAAGAATGCTAACTGGTCCAGGTCAAACCTATGACAGGAACTACTTTGACAAATTAACAGTACAGGTGGGCCAGTTTCAGTGCTCAGGAAAATTTCTTGGCACCACTTCACTTACTAGCATACATGAAGTCTAAGTACACACAAACATAAATACTAACCACAGACAGACAAACAAAACCATCCTTCCCAATTCTAACATGTTTAAAAAGGTATAAACTTGTACCAGCTATACCATTTATGAAGACACTAGTAAAGCCTTGGTGTCACAGCAGTCTTTAAAAATTTGCATGGATAAAAGGGAAAATTAGCAGTGGACTGCTGATGACATGAAGAGCTTATTTGTTCTCTCCACTATCAGAACACGATACTAAGCCAGAAGGACCATTAGTCTGAAGCTGCACAGTAATACATTTCCAGTATTTTCTAAACTCCAATCTGACCATTCACAGTGAAAATCTTTCCTACTAGAAATCTCCTCTCTGTGCCTTGCTTTTGAAATCTTTAATCCTTTCTGATACATAAAAATAGCTGCCTTCCAATGTTCAAAAGATGTGATGACTTATTGGAAGGCTTCACATACTCATCACTTCAAACACAGACATTAAATTATTATAAGAATATTTCATGAGAATCCACTTGGACCTTGATAAACCAAAATCCTTAGAAATAACTGCTACCACTGCATCCTCAATATAAAAAAAAAAGAACAAATAATCACACAAAATCTTATCATGGCAGCTAGCTCACACATTCATACTTAGGAATGCTAGAAATATGAGTGAATGGGATAAGAGTGTTCAGAAGACTGCGAAGCCTGGGACTGCCTATGGAGCCAGAATGAGGCAGAGAGTAGGAGCCAGAGATAAAGCAGAAATAGGACTAGACTGAGAATAGCCTTGTCCACTAGAAAACTGCTTTGTGGAGAAATGTGCATAAGCAATCTTAATTCTGTCATATCCTAATTTTTAGTTCTCCTCATTTTGCATGTTAAATATTGCAAGTGCAATCTTTTGCATTTATTACGTACGTACTGACGCAATACTGCTTACTTGACGTAGATCAAGTGTTGGTTGCTGAAAGAATACTTTCAAACCCAGTGTACTGTATAAAAGCCAGAAAAAATACAATCTTACCTTAAACAAACAACGACAAACATATTCATACACTGTATGTTTCAAGGAGCCAATAAGCGACTTGATTCTTTCCTCAGTACTACTTGAATCCTAAAAAGAAAGTTTGGATTTCAAAAACTTGTGTGCAAGTAAAAATCTTTTTAGGTACCCTGTAAATTTCAGCAGAATAACACAAATAATCTGGACTTTATATGACACTTACTAGTTCTAAAAACATATTATTGAACTCAGCTGCAGCTTCAATGAGTAGATGATAAAATAAGAAGTTCATGCTGAAGCATTAAGAAATTAATATTGTGGCCTTGAACATTTTGACTGTGAACATTATACAATATTATATATAAAGTAGATACACAGAAAATGAGATAGAAGTTTCTTCTCCTAACATTAATAGCCTTGAAAACTCATAGTTTTCACTTGGTAAAAAATTGCTTAGGTATTGAATTACTATATTTAATGTTATTAAACAGGTATGTTGACATTAAGTGTAGGTAGCAAACTTCCAGACAAATTTGGCCCAACTGAAGTAAACATTGTAGAAAACAGCAAATATACGCTGCCTTCAAAGCTTACAGATTAAAAGATTAATTATAACAGGAGAAAACTGAAGATAGGAAAAAAGAAAAAAGAAGAGGGGGGAAAAAAAAAGAAAGTGGGGGAGGTAAGAGGTAGTATGAGATTTATCAGAAACAAGTTCCTCTCTAGCATGCTGGAACATGAAGAATTGAGTTTATAAAGGAGGGCAATGTGGATTCACAAGCTGATTTGACTAATACCTTTCCCATGTCTAAAGGATAGCCTGGGAAAAATGAAGAATTGGATAGATGAGAAGAAAAAAAGGAAGAAAGCAAAGAAGGAAAAACCAGAACTTGAGTTTTAAATAGCTAACATAATAGGCAGGAAGAAAAGAAATTATGAAAGTGTGTGAAAGTAAGAACAAGAAGTTAGAAGCTTATGTTGTGGAAAAGAAGTAATAGGTAAAGAACTTTAAAGAGGGCAAGTTCGCATAGTCAGAACCATATTCCTGGTAACGATTGGAGCCGAAGGAAAGTTGTAAGCAAATACGTCAGAATAAAGAGGAATCCAAAAGTGACATGATGAAAGGCTGGTGAATGCCTTTTTAAAGTGGAAACAAAGAGAAATAAGATGAATTTTGGAGATGCTGAATAAAGAGAAAATGCATCATTACTCAGTGTGGGTTTTTAGATCTAAAGAGTGAGGTGACAAGGGATAAATCCGTAATTCTGTGCTTCAGTAAGAAGAATGTACTGGTCATTAGAATACAGAAAAGTAAAAACTACATTCTCAGTAAGACAGGCTTGCTTACAAACTGTATAAAAGTAGATAAAGTTTTGATCTTCCTTCAGGTGACTGAACCACGTAGAAATATAGGTCTTTTCTTATTCTACCCCTTGTTGATAGAATTAGCTTTACTTGCTCATTAGATCATTTATTTATTTAAATAAAGCCTTCAATAAAGTTATAAACAACCGTGTTTTTCCTAATTCACCTTAGACAAAGAGCAAGCCTGAAATTCCAAATGAATTAGTTACTTTGTTTTCAGATGGCACAGCAATTTTACTATTTATATGTAACATAAGATCATCAAAAATTCCATATGCATGTATTCTAAACATCTATAGCACAACAGTTCAGCATCACTACTTACTATACCTTTCATCATTAGTTATTAGACATTATTTTCTAAAAATGCCCAGAGAAACTAACAAATTCTAAGGATCAAAACAGACTGATTCTTCTGCAGTATTAACAGCTTCAGGAAAAGAGAAAATACCTGCTTGCTTTGCAGAGTCCTTTGGAAAAGCCGCAGGAAAGCTGCCAAACTAAACCGGTACATATTATTAATTTTGGACAAGTCAGAGATAGTAAAGTACATCTTGCTAGCACTCTCAGCTAAAGGGAGATAGGCGTCCCTCTCCTGTGGATAAAAAAAAATACATATATAAAAAACCAGTATATTAGTGCCATCTATGGGTCATTGCACAAACATTTATTCATCCCACCAAAAAAACGTTCAGGTGACTCTCACTGCTTTAGAAAACTGAATCCTTTCCGATTCTTCAAATTGAGGGACATGCACTCAAGATTTCAACCCTGTCTTCAGATTTCAAAATTGGAAGAAAGCATTTTTAGCAAAAAAATTCTTTACATTATGAAGAATATTTTGGAAATTAATCTCTAGGGCACTGAGGCCTCCTCCCACCACAGAACATGTCCCAAAATTCAGTAGAAAATTTTAAACTAACAAATCAAAATACAGAGGAAAAGTCCGTAATGTGTTACAAAAACAGCATGCCAGATAAACAGTATCACCAATGATCTAAATTTTTGCAATAGCAAGGGATATATTAAGTAAGAACATCCATATAAGCCATACAGTTTGCATTAGCAGATGGCAAAAATAAAGTCAAAACCCATCACTTGCAAATAAGCCCTTGGGGCAAATTCCTTTAATTCAAACTGGCAGACTTTAAATTGTGTAGCTATTTACCATGTGTAAAACAAAGGAATTTAATGACTGAAAATACTTTCTGTACTTGCATATCCCAATATCTTTGACTTCAAAAAATTAATTTAGTATGTTTTGATCTTCTACTCCTGTGGATTTATATAGCCTCTCTATATAAAAGATGACTATTTTTAGAAGGAAAAAAACATCAATAAAAGATTAAAATATTCTTCTACCTTATCAAGGAAACTCTGAAGTCTGTGAGACTCAGCAAGTGATTCTTGGATGAGTGCACTACTTGCTTTAGTCTGATTCAAAGATTCAATCAGATCCTTATTTTCTAGTATATTGCCTTGTGATGTTGCAAGTGTCTGTAAAAAAAAGTCATCTATGTTACATTAAAAAAAAAATCCAACTGTAAAGTAACCATTTTGGAAGCTGTCCTTCTTTCTGACCTGTACGTATTTCTGAATCATTGAATGCATCAAGAGTACTAGAAAGCAGGTGGCTACTCCAAAAATGGAGACGTTGTTTTAAAGCAGCATGGAAAACAGAATCCAGGAACAAACTCCAAAAATCCAGATTGCCACGATCTGAAACTTAAGTCATCAGCAAGGTTTTGAGAATTATTTCTATGATCAGAGTCTTACGTACTAATAGCCCCATGGTAAATACAAATTAGGGTATTTTTTCTTCTATTTAACTAGCAATTTAACCCGAAATTGGCTACTTGTAATGACTTCCTGTACCCAGTCATTTATAAATTTTCCTTCAAAAACATTCCAATGTCCCCTATACAATTTAGTTCTCATTTCCAACTGAGATGAATATTCACAATAACAACGATTTCAGTTTTGTAATCAGAGGTCCCTTCAAAAATCCTTGAGTTTACCCCACATTTTCCCTGAGTTCTCCTGTGCAAATAATTTCACTTCTAATAAAAAGTGGGAATAATAAGAGTAAGAAGTAGGAAAAGCTTGAATGATTCACTATTATTTAAGGCTTTTTACTAACCTTCAGTAAATACACTTTAACACAATTTTTTAGTCAAACACCACAAAATTGGTTTGTCAGTTAAGTCAGTTCTGAACAAGTACCTGTAGGATAGCATTTTTAGGATATTTGGAGGCAGAGATTCATCAGTTAAAATAGTAGAATGTACTTAGTTCTCTAGTTGAAAGGAGTTTAGGACAAGATCATCTGTTTTTTTCAAGGAGCCTGATTTTGCTACAAGGAATCATAGCGTGAGCTAGGAGATAGCCACCGCATGTATGTCTTTACGCCAAGGCTTTCAGAAGAAAACCAGTAGAGTACTTCAGATGGAATGTTAATGTTGCTTTAGGATTAACTTGAATTTAACTAGATCACCTCCAGCACGGACTTCTTTGTTGACAAAGTCCATGTAGCACCTGTTAGTTTCCACTGAGCTTTAGGTTTCTTTCTTGAGGGTGAAGGAGTATTCTGATTTCAGTGCTAACAAGAATGCCAAAGTTGAAACCAACCTCAGTGTTAATACTTGGCCATTTTTTGTTGCTGATATCTTTGGCATCAATTACTTGAAATTCTGCACTTGCCAATGCAGATTGGACAAATGTGAAAGATTTTGGAGTTCCAAGATCACACAAAAAGTCTGTTCTAAAAAGTGGACATTTTTTTGTTGTGTCTCTGAACACTCACCTTCTGGTAGACATTAAGATGCTAAATAATGATCAACTTTGAATATGGAATTTTTTCAGAGAACAAGTTTCTCTCTGCCTGTAAGAGAAATCTGCCTCATCATAGTTTTAAGAAAGGTTTCAGCTTAGTATTTGAGACTTAATAGAGAGTTTAATAGGGACAATAAATGTGGAAATTCAAACATATTAGATAATAATGCACAAAATTCTAAATTGAGCTATTAATGGCCAGTCTAATACAGTGCAGTTTATTACTTCTTCTGGAATCTGTAAAACCAACTAGCTTATGCTCAAGTTCATTGTGCTGGATACTGTGAAGTTCTACGACTCAGCTACAGACTGAGGAGTTTGAGGAAGCAGGTCAATCTCCCTGCGTTTATGACATTTTAGAAGGAAGAAGAATTTGAGGATCCATTTGTATGGGCATGAAGTACAGTTTCTGTGAAATCCTTGACAAGATGTAAACAAAAAAGAAACAATCCTCTTCCTTGGAAGCTACCTTTTCTTATAGAGCTATATAACTGTTTCTGAGCATAATTACTTTCATTAAAATAAAAACGTAAACTGAAAATTGAGAATATTAATTTTAAATACGAGAAAGGAAAATGTTAACTACAAAGAATATTACAGTTCATGGCTAATAAGAAACAACTGTGGAGGTTTAAAGTCTTAAAAGTCTCTCTCAACAGATCTTTCCACTTTCTACTGGGAATTTTTCTTTCAGGTTTTTTTCTTTTCACAACACAGAATCATTTTTCAACTTGGGAAAGTACCATTTGACAATTCACAAGCTTAAAAATGTGGCTTTTTTAAAAACCCATAATTCGAAAAAGAAATAGTGTCATTTTTAACAATGTTTTCTCTTTTTTAAAGCATTAAAATAAATGAAATTTCTAATCAATCTAAACCAGTCTATACCTAGCTCAATAATTCATACATTTAACTTTGACAATGCTTAATGTATTGAAATACTACAGTTTCATCACAGATGTACACCTTTTATTTATTTCACTCTCCCAACAGTCACAGGCAAGTAATGCTTTTATTTTCTCAAATAAAAAATTCTGAGGGCTCATTATTCCAACACCTTCATCATCTTCATTCAAACATATAACAATACTAACACTATCTTACTGATCTAACAGATAGGAAAGAGGTAAATTTATTTTACCTCCAAAAGAGATTCCTCAAGCTTAGCTAACTGTATCTTCTTCTCTTCTTCTTGTTGTAACAGTTTTGTTTTCTGCTCTTCCAAATCAGGCTTTTCATGCTGAATTGTTAAAGCCAAAAGCTAAAAAGAAAGGACATTAATCAACGGGATAAAAAACACTCTAGTATTTCATAATATATATTCATTAATTATATAGAATATATACTCATTAATCATATAGCAGTATGTAGTCCATATTTTTGAAAGCAAACTTCTGATGGTTTACTCAGTTGCACCAGACATCCAACAGCTTCAAATCTATGTAGATGTCCAGGATATCCCGCGGTGGCAAGTATAACTCAGGAACTACTGTGAACCATGCCCTTGTGTATAACAGCAGATGCAAGCCAGGTGAGATACTCAAGGACATCTCAAAAGGCACTGGATCACTTTATTAAGGACACTGATTCACACCCTTTTATGCTGAGATCTAAACCTTTGCACCTCAATCTGAATCACATCTGTGTTTAAATGACTGGCAGTCTTCATTAGTGCACGTATTCAGACATAAAAGGAAGTAGGCAATAGAAAGCACAAACTGGAAAAAATGGTGGCTAATTTCTTTCCAGCAAGTCTGCCAAAAGTCAAACCATTCTCCTGTTAACAAAGGGAGAAAACAAAAAACAAAGCTTTTTTTCTCTGTTTCCACTTAAAGAGGGGTTCGATTCACTGGGTTACATTGTATAATGTCAACTCCCTGTCTCCAGTGGAGGGAGGAAATCCATATGGTTATCTGTGCTTCACATTTTGAATTATATCTTACTTATCAACATCTTATTTATATCTCATTCTAAGCCTCCTGTCAGTTTAGAAAAACTTGTTTTATACCAAATAAAGAGGGTTTTTTCTTCTCTTAATTTCTCTCTTTTCTTTCTTTTCTCTCTCCCATCTTTATGCTACATCTTGCTTCCTAACTGCTATTAAAAAAAAAAAAAAACAAAACCAAAACTCAAAAGCTACTAGCATTTTAGAGGAAGTAAAATATATAGCTTTTTGGTTTCATTACATTTTTCCTGTACACAAAGTATCTTGATGCTAGCATCACTCTCTAACTAGGACACTGGAGAGCAATAACAGAAATATTTCCACAGTACCATGAAGGCATCTTGAACAGAAAACAGAAGCCTAGCAATCAATCTGTTGCAACTGAAGTCAACGAGACAGTTTGCATTTTCTCTGTTGGACTCACTACTTGGTTCCAAAGTGCATAAACCCAAGATTTTAAAATTTCAATGTAGTTTCAGCATCAATTTTACCATTTATATTTGTGTGCTAGAAAGTATCTCAGTGACCATTAATGCAAACTGCATCACAGGGCTTCTTCCAGAAGATGGATGTAGCTATGAATGTCTGCTATACATACATTGTTTTATTCTAAACACCTACCTGTCCTCTTAAGCCACTTCCTGTTGTGGTAAAGTTTACTTCTGTAACAATAGAAGAAGCATCAGGTGGAATGGAGGGATTTGGGTTCCTTGTAGACAGAAAAAGACGGAACTCTTCATTATAATCTATCATTTTGTCACCTATTTGTATAGCGTAACGGGGTCCTGTAAATAACAAACAGATGTTACGCTCATTCTGACTGGAATATTTTAGAATTATCTGAAAATAACGGTATTTGTGTAATACTTTATGACCAATAAATAAAAATATATTTTATGAAACTGATTTATAAATTGTTTGGAAAGAAAAATAAATTTTAAAAATTTAAGGAACATAACCTATCCTGCATTGTTAGACAAAAAAACGCAGTAACATAGCACTAGCATAAGAAAGTTACATAGTGAGTATATTTAATACACCAGGGTATTTTAATTGTTCTTCCCCAGTAGAAAAAGCACAAATGGCAAAAAATGAACTTGAAGTAAAAGTAATACTAATGAACCTTTGAAATATTCAAACAATGAAGATACAAAACACCACAGAAGATGTGCTGGAGAATCCCCCTTACGTGTAAGAGTCCTGTCATAATTGATTTACGTTTCCACACAGGTATACCACTCTACCAAAACATACTAGCCATACTTACATATCGGCTAACTAGGATGGTTCAACATTTTCTGAATGTGATCCAAAACGATTAGATTTTATCTCTGGATCTGTTAGATTTATGTGTAGAAGGTTGATGTTGCTGTACAAGCATATTTCTACTAAAATACTACTTTCTATGATAATTGTTATAGAGAAAACCTATGAAACTAAAGATGCTGGAATATATAGTCATTAGATTGAAAGAAAAATACTCCATTAAGAAATATCCCATAAATGTCTTATTATAAATATATCTAATTTAATCACAGTATGAAAGAAACCACCACAGGTTTCCATTCTAGCTGGGTCAGAAAAGAACAGACTTAATCACACAACTAGAGTAAGATTTTGCCTCCTGATACTAAAAAAGAAGAACAGAATTATAAGATGAAAAGTTTCAAAGTGAAAATTTCCTTTCCATAGAAATTTCTGAGGTGGCATAGTTAGGTGCTTCTCTATTTTTAGCACTAAGAGCAGATCAGAAATGCTCTAAATATAAATCTCTTGCTAAAACACTGGTAGAGATGAAAATCACATATCAATTTTGCTTCTATGCCAAGGATCAGAATAAATTTTAGGCCTATGCTGTAAAAATGTCAAACAGAAAATGGAAGCTGGTCAAAGACAAATTTATTGTAGTATATATATTCACATTTTTCTCAACGTTTCATTCCAAGTAATGAAAAGATGTACAGTCATCACAAGCAAAATAATGCAGACAGGCCCCCACCTCCACATTTTGACAAAGAGGAGGAGTGGGTGTTTGCTTCTGAAGTGACTGAAAAGATTCCAATAGTGACCCATTCTCCCTTTTCAAAAAACAGCTCCCTAGTTTGGACTTGCACAGATCTAGCAAAAACATAGCTCATTAACATGCAAAAGACGATGCCGGAGTGTTATGAGCAATTTCCCTGAATAAGCTAGTATATTTTAATTTAATCTGTTTTCTCCACAGTTCTGTAGACATATTCATCTCTTAGTTTGATTCCTTGAGTAAAATCAGTTAAGATGCCTGTAATACTGTATATCTGCTTTCCAAAGTTCAGCAGAAGCTAGTGAAAAAAAAAAAAAGTTGTAAAGATGTTCTGCCTAGCCTCCTACGGATCCCTGAGGTCACCAGTTTGGTGGTACTCTCAACTTTCATGAAGGGTAAACAAGCAAGCACATCTGTAATGGAAGCATGATTTAAACTAACATTTTGTTTTCACTAAACAAACCTTTCTGATATAGGAGATAAATGTATCCAAGAACTCTACAGCATTTGCATTTATTTTTACCATGTATTTACATTTAAAGAATTACTACTACCTCACTGACTATTAGATCTCAATATTGGATGAAATGACAGCAAGTAGAAACCTTGAGCCATTTTAAGTGCCCAAAGTTCACTGTAAATTACATGCACAGGCTGTGGTACATGCTGAGGATTAACACTTGAGGCAGAAATATAATTACTGAGGACAACATAAATATACTTTAATCACAATAATTTAGAAAGTATTTAAAACATAAAAAAATACAACAATGTAACTCAGTTATTTTGATATAATTTCAAAATACGCAACATAATTCAACATAATTCTTGCTGAGATACTTATATCATTACTATTTATTTTTGCTAAACTTTCAACACAATTTTTCATATCAGTCTTTTTAAAGCAACTGAATCCAATGCAGTTCTATATATTGTCATATACAGTACATTATCTCTCCAAAGCAGAGATATTGTAAAATGTAAATGGATTTGTTTTGTTTTTTTTTTTACTTTCACTGCCTCAGTTAGGGAGACTCCTTTCACAGAATTCCACCGTTTTGCTGACCTCTATGACCCCTCCCATTCCAAAGTCCCATCAGGGACACATCTGTGTGCCACTTTTAGTTTCAGACAAATGAAAGAGAAATAGCAACACCAACATTCTAAAACTCTGATTTCTAACTGCACAACCAGTTGTGTAATTTCTGGTCTATTTAAGGCCCAAGCTCCTAAGTAAAACTATGTGTTTGAAATTATCACTAGAAATTAACTTAAAATTTAAATTGTGAAGAGTTGATAAAAACACTTTATTTTAATTCCAGTCAAAAAAAATCTTTAAATACTTTTCAGTACTTTCCCACTTACTGAAGAAGAACATATCTCCAAGGTATTTCATGCCCTGAAGTGTCAGCAGCAGGTCAATGTTAAAGAGGAAGAAATGATACAATACTCATGTTTTCAGAAAAATCCAAGTTTTATATGATATATATAGATCTAACCCACAAGAGCTTTAAGTAAGCATTTGTCACGATCTTGGTCATTTACCTTGAGCTATAAGATCATTTCTTAGCAATGGGTAAAGTACAGGCTCCACTCCATCCATTTCCTGTATAATAAGTGTTTTCCCAAATCTCACTGCCAACTCAAGAGCAGTTAGGAAGTTGGTGTCCTGAGCAAATAGAAATAAATTCCTTTGATTCATGTTTTTTTGAAATATTAACACATCAGAATGAACAGGAAGGCATTACACCAGGAGTCTGAATCTGCCACTGATCTTTAGAGCTGAAAGATCCTATTACAAGCATCATACGGTATTTCAGGGTTAGTCACAAGTGTTCAATTTAAACAAGTTTGATCTATTCAGCTACTGACATACAGGCAACCTATTTAACATGTCTAGCTTTCCAAGTGCTGCACCAGTAGATTGTAGGTCTATCATAGGTCTTGTGTCACATCTCTCAGGTGCATCTGGAAGTCCCGGCTAGTTAATGCATCTCAAGTGTTATTAGGCAGCTATGTTTCAAAACTGAATCAAGACCTAAGGACAGGATTCACATTTATATTAAGATATCTAAATGCAGTCATTTGCATGTAGGAGTCTAAACATGCACGTGATGTTTAAGATTCTATTACAGACAATGGAGATCCTAGACATTGAAGACAACAGAGCCTAAAAGGTAGTCAAGCCAATTAGCTAGCAGGGGAAGCATTCAATTACCCAAAGATATGTATTCTAGTACCATCAGAGAGTATCTACAAGGCCTGCATAGAGCTAGTAGGGATCTGTGGAAGACCTACATTCTGTTGAAGCAGTATCTTGAGGCCAGGTGGGCTTCAATAAGGGACTTCTGAATGGCACTACATGCCTATCTGTGTGTGTGCAACTGAGCCAAGCCTTGCCACCCACGTAAACCATGATATGTAGACAATTAATCCTAGGTACCTTAACCTCAAACTGAAATGCAACCTACTATTTCCAATGTAGATACTACAACACAAAAATCATAAGAAGTGTATAAATACTCCTGAAATCCAGTGAACTGCAATCAAGAATACAAAAGATCTCTCTGTTTACAAATCTTTTACTATGTGCCTCTCAGCATGAAACACTGATACTCTTGAGAGGGCAGCACAAAGAGGCAAACTTGCAGAAGTAATACCAGATATTCACTCTCCAATTTTAAATACTTTGATCTCCTTCTTGAGTAAACAAATTCTCAGTACCATGTAAGAACCATTGTAACCTAGAACTCTGTGAGAAATCATATGCTTCACGGAACACAACCCCATTTTTGCCGATTGCTGTCACATACCTTTAAAAACTGCTCTCTAAAGTCTGGAACAGAGCAAGCTCAAGCAGAACAGAATTTTAAGACCAAGAGTAAATACTGCACCTGTTGATTAATAACTTCCAAACGTGCTTCCTTCAAATGTGTCTTCAACCATTCAGTAGCTCGGAAAGAAGGGTCTATCAAAAATGGGCAAACCTTACTCTAGGGGAAAAGAAAATAATATATATATTTATTGAAATATATTTTGTTTAAGAATAAAATTGAAAGGAGTCCTTTTTTATTTCCCCAAACTAATGGTATTGTCACTTTAAAATCTTTTTCATTAACAAACAGTTTAATGAAACAATAACAGTCTAATAACAAAATGACAACAAACAGTAGAAGGAATGCTATGGTTTTTATATTATTTCTTCTTTAAAAAATAAAAAAAGAGCACCTAAACCCAAAATTCTCAGGTGTTTGTCCTGATAAAGTTAGGCAGTTCATCTTCTCTTAAAAACAGGAGTCTCTATTCAATTAATAGAATCTACAGCTGTTGTTATTCGCAACTGCTTTGAATCTTAGAAGAGGAAGTATTATTTTCGTTTTCTTCCTGTAGTGGGCAAAGTATTTCGCAGGCATAAAGATACAAATATCATATTACTTACAATCAGAAAGAAATCCAGATCTCAAACTTGCAAATACTACAATGCAGAATATTTTGGTGATATTGCCTAGTAACACGTATACTGATAAGACAGCAAGTTTTCATTTTAATAAAATCTTTATTAATGTGTGGTTCCCATACCCATACTTCGCAAAGCTTTAGTGTTTTATTTTAGTATATAAAGATATGCTATGCTATACACATTGCTTTCTAAATGTTGAGATTTTAACCACTGATATACTAATTACGTAAGTGTTTAGAACGTACACAGACACACAGTCACAACACAGACTGACCACAGAGATGACAATAAGTGGAGCAAGTGAAGAGAGACCTATTCACAGTTGATATGTGCATTTAAGACTTCACAAAATCACAGAACGGTTGAGATTGGAAAGGACCTCTGGAGGACATCTTGTACAAAACCCCTGGCTTGAACAGGGCCACCTATAGCGGATGGCCCAGGACCATGTCCAGACAGCTTTTGAAGCTCTCCAGGGATGGAGATTCCACCATTTCCCTGGGTAACCTGTTCCAGTGCTTGGTCACTCTCACAGTAAAAAAGTGTTTCCTAATGTTCAGACAGAGCCTCCTGTGTTTCAGTTTGTGCCCACTGCCTCTGGTCCTGCCACTGGGTACCTTCAAAAAGAGCCTGGCTCTGTCTTCCCTGCACCGTCCCTTCAGGTATTTATAGACACTGATAAGATTCCCCTGAGCCTTCTCTTCTCCAGGCTGAATAGTCCTAGCTCTCCCAGCCCTTTCTCATAGGAGAAATGCTCCATTGCCTTCATCATCTTTGTGGCCTTTCACCGGACTTTCTCCTTCTCCAGTATGTCCATGTCTCCCTTGGACTGATGAGCACACAACTGGACCAGCACTCCAGGTGTGGCCTCACCAGTGCTGAGTAAAGGAAGTGCTGAGGGAAGGATCACCTCCCTCTACTTGCTGCCAATACTTTGCCTAACGCAGCCCAGGGTACCATTAGCCGTCTTTTCGGCAAGGGTCCATTACCAATTCATGTACAACTCAATGTCCACCAGGACCCCTGGGTCTTTTTCTGCAAAGCTGCTTTGCAGCTGGGAGGCCTCCAGCACATAGTGGTGTCTGGGGTTGTCCTTCCCTTGGAGAAGGACTTTGCAATTCCCCTTGCTGAACTTCACGAGGTTCCTGTCAGCCCATTTCTCCAGCCTGTCAAGGACTCTCTGGGTGGCAACTTGACCCTCTGGTGTATCAGCTACTCAACCCAGATTTGTGTCATCAGCGAACTTGCTAAGGGTTTAAACATGTGTTTTCAGCAATTCTTGCGTTCAGTCTGATGGAAGAACATTTTTGGGGTTTGTTTTTTTTTTTTTTTTGATTTCTGAGTTCTACTATTCCAAACTGAGCAACTACACAGATCTCAAACTGAAAGACAGGGAAACAGGGACAATATTCAAGCATCAAAAGATGATGAGCACAAAAGCTTGAGAACTGTACAGTAGATGACATTGGTAAAATACCATGTCCAATTCCAGTTTTAAAAAGATGCTGAAAAAAAATGCAGACAAAGAAAATCATTTGAGCTGAGAGAGGGATTGAAAAAGCTCTTCACGCACAGTGAGATTTTTTAAGAGTTCAATCTATTCAACTAAGGAAAAAGATGAAAATAAGATTTGATTATAGCATATAAGCAGCTTTAACAGTACAAAATGGTATTTATTGAAGAATTTTTTAATTAAACCGAGAACGGAATAACTAGATCTAATATCAAGATGATGAAGCAAGATAAATTTAAATTATTGAAAAAGCTGTAACTGATTTGAAAGAATCATCAGTCATCCAAGCAAAATACCTGTGGCAAATGCAGATTCTCCTCATGGCAATAAATCTTTACTTTCAAGCAGATCTAATAAATGACTACATTATAACTACAATATTATGTACATAATTGTGCAATTGGATATGTATATTTATTATATTTTATATATCTATATGTAGCCATATGATAAAACTGAATCATTATTATGGCATAGTATTATCATTCTTTTCTCAAGCATTACTAGCTACTGGCCTTATAGTGAACGGCATTCTGTATCCTGTATCACAAAGCTCATCTGATGAAGTCTGAGGGTTTAAAATCTAGATGTTTTGAAAGGTATCTGCACATAGCCTTTTCCTTTTTCTGAGAAAAAAAGTATTAGAAATGATATGTCACAGGGAACATATATAGGACATAATCTTCCACTGATTGTATTGGTGTTAACGATTATTCACATGTTAGGCCTGAATAGAGTGATACCAGATTTTGCCCATTCAATATCTGGAAGAAAACTATAAAAGCAAAAAAGAAAAACAAGTATTTTCTTTAACTGTGGGGTTTTTTTTCCTTTTGCTACAGAATACGCAGATTTACATAAGTATTTATTTCTCTGACTGTGTTCTGTGGTGCTTATAAAATAACACAAATGAAATAGTTCAAAATTCCAGAAAGATGCCGTGTTACTGAAAATTGTAGAAATTTAATTACTTCCAAGATAAGACAAAAAAACTAATTTACCTGCAAGATGACAAGAGCATTTTCTATCGAAAGGTCATCTGAAGGTAAACCTTCACTTTTCCAAACTAACTCCTCACTTTCTGTACACAGGAATCGTCGTAAATCGAACTCTGATTAATGATTTTTTAAGTTTATGCTGGTATTTATAGCCTGCATAATTTTTAAGCATTTACCACTCTATATACAATGGAGATTCAGTCTAACATAGTGCAAGTCTGTAGATTTCCCTTAAATTTATTGTTTTATTGCTTGAACTTATTACTATTAACTAGCTGATGTTACAAAAATATTTACTGGTGTTATTAACACACATAGATAAAAATGATTACTGAAAAAGCAGAAGCATTCAGAATGCATTGGCAATTTACAACAGTTAAAGTGAATACATTCATTCATGTAAACTTTTCTTTTTAAGCAAGGACTATGGAGCTAAATCTTAAAAATTGATTAGTGTTTATAATCTTAAGGATTCATAAAATAATCCTAAGAAACAGTCTGTCTGTATATACAAGTATTTACTGAGTAAGAAAACGTCGTTACTTTTCATTTGAAAACACCAAGACAATTGAGAGTGTTCATTAGAACTCACTGGCATTTCTCACTTCCTCAGTCAAGCTTAATTACACACACACACAAATTACTTTCAAGGCCTGCTGATTTGATCCATTCATCCAAGCTGGTTTTCCTCTGATCCTCAGGAGCAGCAGAAAGATAGGTAATAAATGCAGCTGCTAACTGAGCTCTTTTAGGCAACGTAGCCAGTTCATCTGTTATCTCTGACACCTTCAAAAAAAAAAGTACAGAATGTATAGGTGTATTGCAAACAAAAGTTATGCTAGTATTTCTCAGTAGTTACTAAAAAGTCAGAATTAAATTTGACTGCCATTGAGAACACAGTCGAGACAGTCTCTCTTCTTGCATTTCAGGTATCTCTACCTAGCTAACTCACAACACCACACACATGAAAGTACGGAAAAAGTTCTTTTTAGCTCTGGGCTAGAGCATGGACAGATGTTCCTGAGAATTTAGCTACTAAAACTCTATGAATTTGATGAACAGTTCACCTTGTCACTTATAAGCAACTGGGTAAACAGTATTATAGTAAGAAAAACATGAAATATGTGACCCTAGTCACAGTCAGCTAGTGAGTACCACCTACAATATGTATGCAAATACTAAATACCATACGTATCTATTACACTTAAAAATGTGATTCCCTGAAGACTTACATGATGAAATACATTTATCAGATATCTTCAAATAATTGATTTGCACTACATCATCTCTCCTTTGAAATGTTCCAGTATTTTGGAGAAAAACACAGTGTACCAAAATAACCTATGACTGCCATAATTGGTTTGAAAGTACTGTCACTTCTTTACTTTAATCAAACTGACATTTAAAAAAAAGCTGATACAAAAACAAAAAACCCCAACTTTTTATTACTTCCACCATACTTTAAAGGGAGATGAATACTGCTTTTTCACTCTTCTCAATATGAGATGAGTTCCTGACTAATATATCAGTCAGTTTGGTCTACAACATACCGTTAACAGATAGTCTGCACTTTCTAAAGACAGTGGTAATGCACAAGAGTGAAAACCTGTGAGGAATCACTTTTAGAAGCATTTAAACTCTGGGGTTCAAATCTATCTAATTCTTACTACAGCAGATGGAATAGCTGTGAAGCTACTTTCAGAGGAAAATCTTCCATTTCTTTCATTATGCTGGTCAACCTACAAGAAGGATTCACCTAACCATTACTTTGGTCCTTCAAAATGTAGGCAGTAGTCCAATTGTTTAGGCTTTTTTCAGTGTCAATGGAGAGACAGGACCATGACTCTCAGCAGGGAGATTTGTTTTTCATTTTAAGATACCCAAGAAAGCTTGATATTGCTTTCTGGAGGTGACAGCTATTTTCAGATTGTATATATCTTGAAATTTTCCTTTCTGTTTCACAGTGAAGAAAGGCCTGTGCATCCGGAAGCTTGCCAGTTTCTCCCAAATATATCATCTGAGCAAATAAGATATGCTCACTTTCTCTACTTTAGAAGCAGGAAAGTTTCAAACACACAAGTAAAGACTTTAAAAGCAACCCAACGTTTTGGGTAGGTCTAAATTTGCATTTCCAACATCGATGCCATAAAGGAACTACATTTTAAGACTGTGATCGTTTAATGCTTTCCCAAAATCTGTTCCTTTTGATTGTATCTCAGCTTGGAGAGTCCAACTGCTGACATGTTCAGCCATCATAACAATTACATTATTATTGTGATTGAAAATTGTCAGAGAACGTTGCATGTTCTATATTAAATACTGGAGGTTTTTTATACATTCTGTAGCTGTGCAATATAGGTAACTTGTACAGTGAAGTAAAAGGAAATTTCAGAAGGAAGAAAAGCTTTTATTTCTAATGAGAAACCAAATAAGTACACTCAGGAGACATGTAGAATGGCAATAACTCACATCAGCTATAAAATTTTCACTAACCTGGGTGCTCCATCTTTTGTGTTCCCTATCAAGTTGATTTATCAGTACCTCTGCAGCTTTCAATGTTTTCTGAGCTTTACTTAGTTCTGCTTCAAGTTTTGCTGCTTCTGTTGTTCTACTCTGGAACCTGTAAAACAACTACTGTTTGTAATTGTTATCATAAACTACTAAACTTACGGATGGTTATTTTCAAGGCAGTTTAATTGACTGAATTAGTAATGAATTCATCCCTCATTGTTCATGAAGAATACAATTACAATTCTTTTTTACACTTTCTGCTTCTAATTGGCAGACAAGCTTGTCAGACTTTCAACTAACAAAATTTAGATAGATGCCCAGGTGAGATTTAAAAATACATTCGCAATGTAGACTATAATGTCTAAAAATCATTCCTCCTTCTACTTAAAACAGCCTAACATAACTTTAGTGATTGTGTTTCGTTCTGCACATAAGTCAGGGCAACAACCAGCTCAACACCATACTATACATTTGTAACTTTTTGGTAAATTTAATCTATGAAACCTTTAAAGGAGAATATTGCTAATTGTCATGGATGACCCCGGTTCAATGCACAGTACTCTATTTTGTAAACTACTACAAAGTAAGAACATGCCTCAAACAACAGGTAAGGTTTAGGTACTATTTTGTAATGTTTAATATCCAATTAGCTTAATTAATATTTAATTAAGATAATGAATGCATTTAATAATCCACCTTTTTTAAGTAATATATTTACCTGTAATAAGTAGTATACAGTATCTAGTCAATCTAAGACATCACTATATAGCGAAATGACAAGAAGAATTCTCCAAATTTTTTTTGCAGACTACAACATGACTTAGTAATATGCACATACATCAGGTTGTAAAGTATCTCCTATACTGACTACATAATAGAAACATCAAACTAAAAGACTTGGATTAAACTGAATTTGGAGAAAGTATAAAGGTTCACTACAGCAATTTTATGCCACTGTGAGTCATGTACTCAATGAGATGCTAAGAAAAAAGGAGATAGCTAACTAGCTAACTGTCAGAAAAGCAGGCCATCCTAAAAGAAATAGAACTGCCTTTATTCAAACTGTGATCAGCAGAAGTCTTGTATAGAATGTTTGCAAAATCCAAAGGAGACATTAAAGCCCTCTTAGATTTAAAAGATGAGAGACATACTGCTTATTTTTGACATCCACAATGTCTATACTCAAGGCTGCCAACAGTCAGTAGTGCGAAGTAGGTACTTTTAAGGAGCACTTCATCTGATCAATGACACGAACTGTATTCTAACAGAATTTATTTATCTCCACTGAGTGTATAGATAGCCTAATTATTGCTACTTCTGATGTAAATATCTTGCAGAGCAGGGAGTTACATTTAGTTAGATAAATTTCATCATTCATATCGCAAAATCATCAACGTTTTTATTTATATCTTGAAATAAACAAACTCAACTTACTTATCTTTCAGTTCTGACACTTTTTGACCAACAGAGTTCAGAAGATCTTCTAACTTCTGTTTTCTATCTTTAGTTTTCTTGAGATTACTACAAAAATATAACATTTATTTTAAGACTATGGATCCAAAGGAAAAAAAAAAAAAAGTAAATGTAACAGGAAAGTCATTTACATACGGATAGTTCAGAGACCGTTCTATTTTGAGATTTATATTAACAAAATTCTGTTTTCACATATAAAAGTTTTGATTACTTCTCATCACATAGCTTTATAAATGGAAACCAAACACCTCATTCAAATATATCCTTAAAGATCAGAACAAATTCTTCCAATACAGAATTGTAAGACCTGGTAAAACAATCAGTATAGATTCCTCAGGTTATGGATAGTCGAAGATTATGTCATATCTTTTTGATCCTAAGGAGAATCTGATTACGCTTGGTGCATGACTGAAGAAAGAGGAACTACACATCTCATAAAATAGCATGGGTTTCACTGACAGAATACATTTTAAGTATATCTGTGATGTTCATTTCTCCCTGACACATTTCAGTTGAGACAGGTAACTTGTGACTGGCCAAAAATATCCAAGGCATAGCTTCCAGGAAAAAACAAAATATCGCACACTTACTTTTTCTGTCCCAGTGTGAATGTTTTATTGCCTATGGATGGGGTATGGTTTCCTGTATCTTTTGTTTTTAATGAACTTCAATTCCTCCTTGGTGGCCTTAGTTTCATCCACCACCATTGGAATGAAGAACATTTATTTTGTAATACTGTCTAACTTACGCTTCCAAGCCAGCCTTTTCTTTTTCCAAAGGCTGAATTCGTTCCAGGACATGGGAATACTGGACATTGGCATTCACCCAAGCAGCTAATGGAGCAGCTGCAGCACTGGCTCGTTTAGCATTCTGAAAAAATCAGTAACAGTTACCAAAAGTCCTTGAAGCATAATGTAGATGAGACAAATACAGGATAAATAACGGCAACAGATTTATGACTTATCAACTTAAATATGCCAATTAGTCAGCTCCTCTACCTAACTAATCTTTCAAATTGTTACTAGGAGATTATATTGCAGGCCACCAATCTGTGTAAAAAAAATAATGGGTATCTTTACAACTATGAAGCTTCACTGAAGTTAAGAAGTTTTAAATTAATGCATAATTTATTGGTGTGCTCCTTCTCAGGGAACTACAACTTTCCTTTTAAAAATAAGGAATTAGTATTTAAGAATTCCTTTTTATAGCTACTGCCAAATCAGTTCTCAAAGACCACACATACATTTAATCATTATTAGTTCCCCCCTTTTTTTAGTTAAGTGTACTGTTAAGACTCTTAACTGCTACAAGGAGGCCAGAAGGAGCCAGTTACAATTCCTTGATCTGAGTTTTAATTTATACCAGTGACAAAAATCTCTGAGGACTTGACTCCGTAATGACTTCATATCCCACGACTTCTCAATCACCAACAAAATCCTCACTGTTAGAGGCACTACGGAACAGAGTCATCTCTGCTACACTTTTATCTCTTTATACTGACAAATTCTGCAAGCAGAATTCATCGCTTTTTCTCTATGCTGGCAAATCAGACAATCGTCTTTTTTTTTTTCTTTTTGTCTTTTTTCATTTTACGTAATGCAATCAGGAATTACCTTTGGATCAAAAGATGTTCGGTTTTTAGAAAGAAGTTCTTCAACACTCTCCCGTATTTCTTTTGGAATACTACGGGCATCAAAGGTTGCTATGTCCTCTCTCACACCTCTTTTGGCCAAGAAACTGTAAAAAGAATTAAATAACTAAGTAAAGAAGAAACAAATATTAAAGAGATTATTT